CTGCTGAACACATGCTTGGAGACAGGGAGATGCTTGTGCTTGGAGACAGGGAGATGCTTCTGCCTGAAGTGCTGGGTGGGCAGGCAAGCAGGGGCAGGGGCTTTGCCATGCAAATGAGGGAACAGATGCCAGCCAGGAGCAGGAGCCCAGCAGAGCCCCATGTGAGTGTGCAAGGGGACACGGGCAAAGCTGTGGAGCAAGTGGAGGGCAATCCTGTCCTGGTGCTGCCCTGTTCCCACTGCAAAATGACATGCAGTTGTGTATAGGCTGGGCTTGATGGTCTTAAAGGTCTTTTCAAGCCTCAGTGATTCCTAGTAGAGCCACACCAGAAGGTTCCTTAACCTTTTTCTGGGGAAAAAGTCTGTGATGCTTGTGCCTGACTTCTCGGGCACTCCTTGTGCCTCTGCTTCTGTTTCTCCTGCACCCTGGGAGAGGAAGGCTTTGGATGTGGTGGCAGAAACACTGAGTCTCCTTCTGTGCCCACATAGGAAATCGTATCCTGACGCTTGGGGAGGTCCCAAAGGATCAGGTCTATGCCTTGAAGCTGAAGGGGATTTCCATCTGCTTCTCCATGCTGAAGGCTGCGCTGAGCGGGAGCTACGTGAACTTCGGGGTCTTCCGCCTCTACGGGGATGATGCACTGGACAATGCCCTGCAGACCTTCATCAAGCTTCTGCTCTCCATCCCTCACAGTGACCTGCTGGTGAGCCCACACCTGCCACTGGCAACGTGAACACGTGGCTAGGGAAGGCAAGGATGGGAAGTGTGGAGCTCCTGGAGAGAGTCCAGAGGAGATGATCCCAGGGCTGGAGCAGCTCTGCTCTGGAGCCAGGCTGGGAAAGTTGGGGTGTTCAGCCTGGAGAAGAGAAGGCTCCAGGGAGACCTTAGAGCACCTTCCAGTGCCTGAAGGGGCTCCAGGAAAGCTGGGGAGGGACTTGGGACAAGGGCAGGGAGGGAGAGGACAAGGGGGATGAATTAAAACTGGATGAAGGTTGGAGATGAGGAGGGAATTCTTTGGTGTGAGGGTGGTGAGAGCCTGGCCCAGGTTGCCCAGGGAAGCTGTGGCTGCCCCATCCCTGGGGGTGTTGAAGGGCAGGTTGGATGGGGCTTGGAGCAGCCTAAGCTGGTGGGAGGTGTCCCTGCCCATGCAGGGGGTTGGATCTAGATGATCTTTCAGGTCTGTTCCCACCCAAACCATTCCATGATTCAAGTTGTTCCCATCTCTGTGACTGCATCCAGCACCTTACTGATTTGATACACCAAACCAATGCTCCTGAGACATGCAACTCTTGAGATGGGGCAGCTTGGCAGGACTCCCAGCAGAGTGCCCCCAGGTCTGGGGGGTGCTGAGGGGTCAGTGGCACTGCCTGCAGTGCAGACATGCTGATTTTGATGTGCTCTGGCACTTGGGCAAGGCCACCTGGAGAGCCAGTCCTGCCTCTCCATCTCCACATGGCCATTAGGCAGCTCACACTCCCCATTAAGAGCCAAGCAGTGGGGAGAGGTATTTAGAGATAAGTGTTGGGAGCCTGCTGGGCCATGGTTGCTGGAGCCTGGTTGGAAGACTCTTGGTGGGGGAGAAGGAGGGGAAAATATGTTGGCCCATATGCTGGGAGAGAGGTTGGTTTGTTCTCTTTCCAGAAGATGGGGTAAGCACTTCCCACGTGATGAATGAGTGGGTTGGGTCTAACAGGAGGATTTAACTGAAGGTTACAGGCCTCAATTTTTTTTCTCTCTTCCTTTCTCTACAGGATTATCCCAAGCTCAGCCAGTCATACTATTCCTTGCTGGAAGTTCTTACCCAGGACCACATGAACTTTATAGCCAGTCTGGAGCCTCATGTAATCATGTATATTCTCTCTTCCATTTCAGAAGGCCTCACTGCACTAGGTAACTACCTCTGCTCTTTGTTGTGAAGACAGGCTGGGAGAGTTGGGGTGTTCAGCCTGGAGAAGAGAAGGCTCCAGGGAGACCTTAGAGCAGCTTCCAGTGCCTGAAGGGGCTCCAGGAAAGCTGGGGAGGGACTTGGGACAAGGACAGGGAGGGATGGGATGAGGGGGATGGATGGAAACTGGGAGAGGGAGATGGAGGTTGGAGATGAGGAGGGAATTCTTTGTTGTGAGGGTGGTGAGAGCCTGGCCCAGGTTGCCCAGGGAAGCTGTGGCTGCCCCATCCCTGGGGGTGTTGAAGGGCAGGTTGGATGGGGCTTGGAGCAGCCTGGGCTGGTGGGAGGTGACCCTGCCCATGCAGGGGGTTGGATCTGGATGAGCTTTCAGCTCCCTTCCCCCCCAACCCAGTCTGGGATTCCATCATTCTATGAACTAAATGCTACCCTGTGAATGGGTGGAGGAGTTTCACCTCCATTGAGGCTGGAACATGAGAGATAGTGGAGCTGTGAGTGAGGAGGTTGCTGCCCTGGTCAGGGTTAGATGGTCTTTGCTCACAAAGTCCCTGCAAGGACCCCGATAAATGGTGTTTCCTGGGATCCTGCCCAGGTGTGTCAGAGCCAGGGCCGTGCTGGCAGCAGCCCAACATCTCCCCCTCTCTCCTGTTGTTGCAGACACCATGGTTTGCACAGGCTGCTGCTCCTGCCTGGACCACATTGTCACCTATCTCTTCAAGCAGCTGTCCCGCAGCACCAAGAAGAGGACAACCCCTCTGGCCCAGGAGAGCGACCGCTTCCTGCACATCATGCAGCAGCACCCAGAGATGATTCAGCAGGTACATACCTACTAGTGGGACCAGCAGAAGCAGAGAGGTGATTGTCCCCCTGTGCTCAGCACTGGTGGGGCCACACCTGGAGTGTTGTGTCCAGTTTGGGGCACCTCAATCCCAAAGAGATCTTGAGGTGCTGGAGCCAGGACAGAGGAGGCAACAAAGCTGGGGAAGGGAATCAATCTGATGATGAAGGCTTGAAGGAGCTGGGGATGTTTAGTGTGAGGAAGAGGAGGCTGAGGGGAGAGCTCATCAGTCTCACCAACTACCTGAGAGGTCATTGCAGAGGTTGGTGCTGGTCTCTTCTCACAGGTCATTAGAGACAGAACAGGAGGGAAGAGCTTCAAGCTGCACCAGGGCAGGGTCAGACTGGACATGAGGGAAAACTTCTTCACAGCAAGAGTGGTTGGAGACTGGGACAGGCTGCCCAGGGAGGTGGGGGAGTCACATCCCTGGGTGTGGAGATGGGTGAGGGGCGAACTTTGTGGAGCAGGGCTGATGGTTGCACTGGGTGATCCCAAGGGGCTTTTCCAACCTGAATAGTCCTATGATTCTATGACTAAAGGGCCTCCCAGTAGGATGGCACAGGGAGCTCCCCAGTGAGCCTGGAATTCTCATGGCATGATGGAACACGGGTCTCTCTGCTCTAGAGCCCCAGGCTGTGCCAGAGGAAGAGGGGAATTTATTTGGTTTTTGTTATGTTTTGCATCTCTCCTATGTGTTCATCATGTAGTAGTTGTGATTCAGGGCTGTACTTCTCCCTGGGCAAGGAACACCAGGTTTGTGAGAGGAAATAGCCAAAAATGAGCTTTTATTTAAAAAAAATAACACTGTTCTAGGCAGTCCTGGCAGCCTGTAGAAACAAAACCAGGAGACAGACATTGAACCTGAGAATGTGCCCTCTTCTGCTTTAAAAATAAGGAGGAAAGGCTTGAGAGAGGAAAGTCTGGGAGAGCTGGGGCTGCTCAGCTGGAGAAGAGGAGCCTGAGGGGGGATCTCCTCAGTGCTGATCAATATCTCCAGGGGGTGGCAGGAGGGGGGACCAGACTCTGCTCAGGGGTGTCCAGGGCCAGGACAAGGGGCCATGGGCACAAACTGGAGCCCAGAAGCTTTGACCTGAAGAGGAGAAAATCCTTCTTGGCTGTGAGGGTGGCAGAGCCCTGGGCCAGGCTGCCCAGGGAGGCTGTGGAGTCTCCATCCCTGGAGACCTTCCAGCCATTCCTGGATGTGTTCCTGTGGGATCTGCTCTAGGGGATCCTGCTCTAGCAGGGGGTTGGACTGGCTGATCTCCAGAGCTCCTTCCAGCCCCACCAGTGTGAACATCAGGGGTTGTAGAAATCCCTGGCACAATTCAATGGTCCATGTGCCCTCCCAGCAGAGCAGGCACCGTGGGGTCCCTGTCCCCAGCAGGGCTCTGCTGTGTCTCCTGTGGGGACCACATGAAGGTTGTTTTTGCTGCCTTGGCAACGTTCTCACCTGCCTTCAAAACAGCCTCTGCAGAGTGGATTTGGTGATGGAGGGTTGTTTTTTTTCCCATGCTGGTAGCACATCTGCCATCTGTCTCCATCCACAACCCCTGGGACAAACATGGAGCTTGCTGGGAGTTGTCTTCTCCCAGGTTCAGGAGTGTGTGCAGTGGCAGAGGAGTGACCTGAGACATTTTCCTTGCTTGGCTCAGGCTTAGCAAGGAAACAAACTCCACACACCAGGTAGTTTAGGTACCTGAGTGTCACTGCTTGTCCAGATGTCAGTGTGACTCCCACAGGAGAGCAGGGAATATCATTCCACCCTTGCTGGTAGGTCAAAAGCAGAGACAAGCAGGCTTTTTTTTTGGGGGGTAGAAGCTGTTTTCTGAGGATAAAAAGAGCAACTGCATCTTCCAAACCAGCTGGGTGAGATCCTGGCTTGATCCCAAGGAGGCTGTGGAAGGGAACACAGAGAGTGTGGATGTGGGGAAGCTCCCCAGGGCACCAGAGCTGGTGCTCTCTACATTTAAGCACTTGCTGAAGTGAAGATGAGACAAATCTTTCCCTTGGGGCAAGGTTGGAGTGTCAGGAATAAATGCCCCAACAGCTTTCAGCACCTCCTCCATGTGAAGTTCTCCATCAATTCCTGGAGGCTCCAGGTCCTCCTCCTCTTGTTCTATGGTGCTGAGAGCTCTGTAGCACTGAGGCTCCAACACTGGAGGTGAGGAGAAGGCTGGGATGGAAGGGCTGGTTTTAAACTCCTTCCCTCTCCCCAGATGCTGTCGACAGTGCTGAATATCATCATCTTTGAGGACTGCAGGAACCAGTGGTCAATGTCTCGGCCTCTGCTCGGCTTGATACTGCTCAATGAAAAGGTAAAAACCCCACCTTCCCATCCCAGCTGGAGGAGCTGGCTGGGCTGGGCTGATGCTGGAGCTTTGGGGCTGAAGGGAACAGGGTGGGAAGAGTGTCCAACCCTCCCCTGCAAGCAGCCTTGGCACAAAGGAGTCCTCCTAACTTTCATGTTTTGAGGGCACTAGAAGAGCTGGGACGTTTTTCCTTCTCTCTTCCCAAGAAGCTAAGTTGTGTCACAAAGCCCAGGTGGTTTCTCCTCTGAAAATGAACCCATCCTTCTCTTTGTCTCCCTCCCCAGTATTTCTCTGACTTGAGGAACAGCATAGTGAACAGCCAGCCTCCAGAGAAGCAGCAGGCCATGCACCTCTGCTTTGAGAACCTCATGGAAGGCATTGAACGCAACCTCCTCACCAAGAACAGAGACAGGTCAGTGGGGGCCAGAGACCCCTCTGTGGGTGCTGAGCCCACCCTGAGGTGTGCTGAGCCCACAGCTTCCTGCAGGAGCATGGTTTAGAGAGTCTGTGGTCCTCGTGGTGAGCAAAGCCATGCTCAAGGGAGCAGAAGCATGCTCCAGGACAAGGGAGGGGATTGTCCCCCTTAACTGGGCTCTTGTGTGACCCCATCTGGAGAACTGTGTCCAGTCCTGGAGCCCTCAACATAAGGAGGGCTTGAACCTCCTGGAGAGAGTCCAGAGGAGGCCACAGAGGTGATCCCAGGGCTGGAGCAGCTCTGCTCTGGAGCCAGGCTGGGAGAGTTGGGGTGTTCAGCTTGGAGAAGAGAAGGCTCCAGGGAGACCTTAGAGCAGCTTCCAGTGCCTGAAGGGGCTCCAGGAAAGCTGGGGAGGGACTTGGGACAAGGGCAGGGAGGGAGAGGACAAGGGGGATGGATGAAAAGTGGGAGAGGGAGATTGAGGTTGGAGATGAGGAGGGAATTCTTGGGTGTGAGGGTGGTGAGAGCCTGGCCCAGGCTGCCCAGGGAAGCTGTGGCTGCCCCATCCCTGGGGGTGTTGAAGGGCAGGTTGGATGGGACTTGGAGCAGCCTGGGCTGGTGGGAGGGGTCCCTGCCCATGCAGGGGGTTGGATCTAGATGATCTTTCGCCTCCCTTTCCACCCAAACCACCCCTGTTTCCGCAAAGCCCTCCAAGAAAAGAGGGGGGGTGCCCACCTCCCCTGCCTCTCAGCCCTGCCTCTTCCCCCCAGGTTCACCCAAAACCTCTCAGCCTTCCGGAGGGAGGTGAACGACTCCATGAAAAACTCCACCTACGGCGTGAACAGCAACGACATGATGAGCTGACGTCTCCCAACTTCCACCTGTACAGAGCAGCATCTCTTGGGCCTGGCCCGGAGGGGTTAACGTTTCCGATGGAAAGAAAAAAGAGGGCGTTTCTAATCCCTGCTCTTCCCCAGGGCTGGATTGAGGTCTCCAAGTCCGGTGGGAGGAGGGAACAGGAGGAGGGGTTGTTGAGCTCACAAGGGGGCAGGGTTGTGCTTCTGTTTCCATGGGTATTAAAAAAAAAAAAACCACAAAAAAAAGGGGGTTGGAAGGGCATCAAAACAAAAAGAAAACCACAAAAAAACAAAACCCAGGTGCAACAAAAATCCAGCACATCTCCCTTCCCTGAATGTCTGGGTGGAAACGCCAGCGCTCTGCTGCAGCCTGCCTTGTAAAATACAAACAACAAAAAGAAACATGTACATTTTTTCATAACATTTTGAACAAGGTTTCTATGGACTCCGTTTCAGAAAAAGAAAAAAAAAAAAAAAGGAAAAAAAAAAAAACAGAAACACCAAAAAAAAAAAAGTGTGATTGAAAATTTTTACAGAGTCTCGATGCACCCGGTGCTGGCGTGAGGGTTGTGTGTGAGTTGAGGAGGAGTGTGGGCCTGAAGCCTTTGCTGGGCACGGGGGTGGGTGTGTGAAAGTGGCAGAGATGAATTTAGTGACAAGTGGAGAGAGAGAGAGAGAAAGAAGCAGGGAAAAAAAAAAAAATCATTAAAAAAAAATGATACAAACCAAGTGGGGGAGGAGAAAAAAAAAATCGATGAGGACGGAGAGAGAATAAAAATAGAAAAGGAACAAAAAAATTTAAAAAGGCAAAAACCACAAGGATAAAAAAAAAAAAAAAGGCAATGTAAAGTTTCCCAAATGTATATTTTTTTCTTATTGAGCCCCTGGAAATCACGACTCCCTGTTCCAAGTCCTGCCCTTGTTATTAGGAACTCGAAGCCATTGCAGCGTGACCTTCCATCCGTGCTTGCTCGTGGGTGTCTCTCCCCTCCCCAGGTGTAGCAGTAGCCACTTGTCCCCTCGTCACCCCGCTCCTGGCAGGGCCCTCACCCCCTTCCCACCCCATCCCGGGCTCCTGCCCTTCTCCTCACTGCCTTGTTTTCCTTTTTCTCCCCCATTTCAGTGAGCAGGCAGCAGGCCGGGGACGCTCGGGCTCTGGGGAGCTCGGAGCTGCTGGAACCACCTCAGAGGGTTCTTAATAACAAGACAATGCCTCAAGCATGAAGTATCTCACACCCCCCTGATAAAAATGATTCCATTTTTTTTTTGGCTAAGTCACCACAATAAATGTTTTGGATGGAAAATTGACTCAGAGAGGAAAAGCTGATGGGGGAGGGAACCAGTTTGCCTTGTACTTTTTCCACTATTGTTGCTGCTAGTCGTGTGCATCCTCTTGCTCAGCTCTACACTCAGTCCTTAGGGTTCAGTTTCTCTTCCCAGACACCACCTATTAATTTTATTTCTTTTTTTTGTTTTTGTTCTGGTTTATTTTTGGTTTCTCTGTGTTTTCTTTCCTCTGGCTGATTGTGTGTTGGGTCCCCTTTTTTTTTTTTTCCCCGCGTGAGCAGATTGCTGGTTGACTTTGTAAGGGTGTTTGCTGCATCCAGTGTAAAGCATTGTGACTGCAAATAAAACTTCAATGGTTTCTACTGAGCTGTGTCTGCCTGAGCATCACCTGCCAAGCCCCAAAGCTCCTGCTTGGGGGTGTTTTCCAAATGAAATGGGTTAAAAAATGATCTAGAAACGGGGTTTTCTTGCTGGGGGAAGATGTTTCTGAGCTGGAAGGTGTTTTCATTTTTAGACAAGGGGGTGATGGTTTAAAACTGGGAGATTTGAGACCTTAGAGCAGCTTCCAGTGCCTGAAGGGGCTCCAGGAAAGCTGGGGAGGGGCTTGGGACAAGGGCAGGGAGGGATGGGATGAGGGGGATGGATGAAAACTGGGAGAGGGAGATGGAGGTTGGAGATGAGGAGGGAATTCTTGGGTGTGAGGGTGGTGAGAGCCTGGCCCAGGTTGCCCAGGGAAGCTGTGGCTGCCCCATCCCTGGGGGTGTTGAAGGGCAGGTTGGATGGGGCTTGGAGCAGCCTGGGCTGGTGGGAGGTGTCCCTGCCCATGCAGGGGGGGTGGATCTAGATCATTAAGGTCTCTTCCCACCCAAACCATCCCATGATGCTATAAAGTGGCCTGAGCCATAGCTGAGGGCTGGGTCTGTTCTAAGGAACAACCTGCAGCACAAACAATTCCATGGGCCTGGTTTACTTTTAAAAAACATTTATTTACAGGCTGAACTTGGAGGAGGAGGGAGGCAGCCCTTCTTGAACCACCCCAAAAAAGACTTCTCCTGGGCTTGGCACTGAGAGAATCCAATCCCATCCTCACCCTGATGACCCCTCAGGGGTCCCCAGCTGCCTGTACACCCCACTATTCCACCCTTCTCTGTTCCGGGCGATCTCGATGGCAAAAAACTGGATCCTGGTGGCTAAAAGAAGGGGGGGAGGGGGGGAAAAAAACCCAATGTCAAGAGCAGATCCTTGGGGTTCAGCACCCCCTTTTCCAACAGGGCCAGGCCCCAGCCCTGCCAGGCCCTCACCAAAGATGGTGTTGTCCTCAGTGTAGCCCTGCTGGCAGTCCAGGCGCAGCAAGGTGCCGTAGTTGAAATCCTCCACCACCCCCTGGAAGCCCAAGCAGAACGGGCGCCACTTCTGGGGGGCAGAGAAGAAGAAGCCTCAGCACGTCCTGGTTGAAGCCCCTTTTCCCCCCCCCCTCACTCTGGGGAAAATTCATCCACGTGTGTCCCCTTCCCCACCCACCTCCTTGGCGGGCTCGGATTTCAGCTCTTCTGGGTCCAGGACGTCAATTTTCAGGTCCCTGAAGGTTCTCCTGAACTCCTCGTAGATCTGGTCGTCAACTTTGGTCAGGTTCAGGAACTTGGGGTCCACGGAGGAGATGA